CCATCAGGGCTCTCTATCAATTGGTGTTCTAAACGACCCTTCTCCACTGTGATGTCATCACAGCAAGAAAAACCAACACATAAGGATCACCCATTAATGCAGTGGTATTCAGGTGAACACGCTAAGCCAAGAATAAATACTTCTAAAAGTTTATCATCAAATATTGTACACATGCATCAATGCAGCTGGAATGAGAATGTACATCAAGTTTCCATAGAAGTGTGGTAAATGCATTATTGATGTACATTTGATGAATAACCCCCTATGTGATTTCAGATGGAAACATATTGAAGAATAAAGTTACATTACTAGCAATATGGATTACATTTACATTTTAGCAGACGCTCTTATCCAGAGCGACTTACAGTTAGTGAGTGCATACATTTTCATACTGGCCCCCCGTAGGAATCGAACCCACAACCATGGCGTTGCAAACGCCATGCTCTACCAACTGAGCTACACGAGACCATATGCATCAACCAAATGACATCATTGTTGTAGTTGCCCATGGTGGCCATTTTGGAAGAGTATCACATCACTTAACCAAAGCATGCTATAATATTTAGAAACATTTGAGCATTGTAATGCATAGAGTACAGCCTCATTTTTCTCATTAAAACAACATACCCTTACTCAGGCATTGGCCCATTAAACATTACTATACCGTATGTCAAGATAAATGTGTTAAAAATAAACAAGCTATTCTCTCTTTATGTTCACTTCTCCGTATCATAGAGACCGTGAATCCAGGCCAAATTTAAGGCATGTTTAAGTAAAGTGTGTGCATTTGTTTCCAATTTGCTAGAAAATAGTAACACATTTACACCAATAGGGGTCAGCAGTAAACAGTCATAACTGTATAGTTTACAGGGTAACACTTTACTTAACGCCAACACGGATAATGCATGATGTTGTTATAATGCATTACAAGACTTGCAATAAGCATATGATCCTTACAATGTCTTATCTCATAGTGATCCTTAATACATCACAGCAGCTATTTTCAGAAGAAAATGCTTAATATAAATGCATAACATAGCCTATAATAACACATTTTGAAGGTTCATATATGCTTATGACAAGTCATTAAGCACTATCCATGTTGGGTTTACGTAGTGTGTTTCTGTTGACTACAATTAATATCTGTCCAGGATCGTAATTATACTATTCATAATTATTGCTAATATTGTAAGTGAAGACCCTCCACATTCCATGTTGTTTATGGTCGAATGATAAACATGGTAATATTCATTAGTTGTAGTTTCCTTCAGATTCCAGCATGGACAAATCATCATAATCAGGACTTTTGAGAAAAAAATAAGCTGGAGAGCTGCTGTTTGCATACAAGAGCTGATCTCTGGACACTAGTTTTGTAAGCAAGCTCTTAGTGGAGTATAGAACAGTCCAACTCAAACTACTGCACGACTTATTCAAAGGTTGCAAGTGAAAGAAAACTCATTCATGACCCTTGAATCTCTATACATAAACACCTAGCGAAACCCATGTTCTGTAAACATTGTATACTGTTATTGTAATGGTTTTGTTCAAAATTAATATCTGAAATCATTCGTTAATACGAAATGAGACAAGAAGAATAGCCTAATGTAACACGATCACGATATGGGTTGGATTTAGTTCACGCATTGTAATAGCAGACAGTTACAGCTGAGATATGTTTTTTTTTGCCCTTTTACTACGTAATTAATAAATTGAGTGCAGTGTTGCGGCTGTCTATGTTTGTAGCCATCTGCGGGCTATGTAGCACAATGCAGCCATTATGTAGCGTTATGTAGCCATTATGTAGCGTTATGTAGCCCAATGCAGCCATTATGTAGTGTTATGTAGCCCAATGTAGCCATAATGTAGCGTTATGTACCCCAACGTAGCCATTATGTAGCGTTATGAAGCCCAACGTAGCCATTATGTAGCATTATGTACCCCAATGTAGCCATTATGTAGCGTTATGTACCCCAATGTAGCCATTATGTAGTGTTATGTAGCCATTATGTAGCATTATGTAGCCCAATGTAGCCATTATGTAGCGTTATGTACCCTAATGTATCCATTATGTAGCGTTATGTAGCCCAATGTATCCATTATGTAGCGTCATGTACCCCAATGTAGCCATTATGTAGCGTTATGTAGCCCAATGTATCCATTATGTAGCGTTATGTAGCCCAATGTAGCCATTGTGTAGCGTTATGTAGCCATTGTGTAGCGTTATGTACCCCAATGTAGCCATTATGTAGCCCAATGGGAACACTGAACCGTGGAGACCTCCCTTAAGACTGATAATGAACTACATGTATATGTACTGAAGCTGGTTTAGTGAACCCCACTCACAGGATGAATAACCTTGCCAGAGACCTGAAGACTCACGTTAACTTCCCAAACTAATGCCTAGGCTTAAATACAGCCCAACACTGTCTTGTGGCATGCAAGACACCGGGCCCAAATGCCAGTTGGTCCCATATAGTAACGGCAAGATCATCAGCATCATACTGTATATTAAGATGACACTGCTAGGGTGTGATTAGTTATCATGTTAAACTCACTGAAGGTGCCCACATCATTGAAGATGTGAACACAGTGGTTGATAACTTTGGCACTGCTAGGTTCTAATTAGTAACAGAAGGTAATCTACATGTCCTGTATATAAATTAGATGTAAAAAATTTACATTGATTACTAATTCACAGGCCTCAAACTTCTGTCTGCCTTTGATATTCAGCAATGGAGTTCAAAGCATGAGCATACAGTAGGCTAGCCTACGGCAAGCTGCAGGACCAAACAGTACTGACATTAATGTGTGTTTAACAATGCAAGTCATGCAGCAAGTCATGCTTTGCAGTGACGTGTCTTGAAATTTTTTTTTTTTTTGGAAGAACCAGTTACACAGCAAATGTTGTAATACATTTTCTATACGTTTCACATGTACAGTGTCTAAGGAGAGAGCCATTGGTTAGATGAAACTAAAGAATCAGCTAAGTAATGCAACCTCCTCCACATGCAAACAGCACAACATGGCGAGGTGGAGTGTTAGTGCAACTGAAAGAGTTCAGAGACATTCCCAGCACTGGAACCATCGGCCAAGAATACTGACCAAGTGGTCAACAAAGGTGGTTGGTTGTTGGTTTCTTGGCTATGGATATCAGATCGAACAGTGAACTGCTAAGACACGGTGATGGTCGGTCAGTCTGAAAGGAGGTTGGAGTTTGAGTTCTTTATTAAGACCATGCTGGTCTTCAATCGGTCAGACAGGGTTCTCTGTGCACAGACCAGAAGATTGATTGGTTAAACGTGACGGTCCTGAGCTCTGATTGGTCAACACAGCCTCCTCCATCTGGTTTAAAGAAGACGATGACACAGAGAGTACGGTAGTAAAGTTGGAAAAACAAACCCAAAGTAATATATTCTGTGAACCACCTGTGTGTTTATGAATGCATTGATAGAATATCAGGAGCAAGATCTATATTGAATGATTTATAGCAAGTACAAAGCTCAATATGCAGTCCCACCTGTGCTGAATGCATGTATAGCCTTTTTGCATTTATAAAGACAACACCAAGGTACACAACATGACCAAAAGTAAAAGTGTTCGTTGAACTTCTCATTTAAAAATCATGGACATTAATATGGAGTTGGTCCACCCTTTTCTGCTATAACAGCCTCCACCCTTCTGGGAAGGCATTCCACTAGATGTTGGAACATTGCTGCGGGGACTTGCTTCCATTCAGCCACAAGAGCATTAGTGAGGTCAGGCACTGATGTTGGGCAATTAGGCCTGGCTCGCAGTCGGTGTTCCAATTCATCCCAAAGGTGTTTGATGGGTTGAGGTCAGGGCTCTGTGCAGGTCAGTCAAGTTCTTCCACACCGATCTCGACAAACCATTTCTGTATGGACCTCGCTTTGTGCACGGGGGCATTGTCATCCTGAAACAGGAAAGGGCCTTCCCCAAACCATTGCCACAAAGTTGGAAGCACAGAATTGTCTAGAATGTCATTGTATGCTGTAGCGTTAAGATTTCCCTTCCCTGGAACTAAGGGGCCTAGCCCGAATCATGAAAAACAGCACTTACAGTTGACCAGGGCAGGGCAGAAATTTGATGAACTGACTTGTTGGAAAGGTGGCATCCTATGACAGTGCCATGTTGAAAGTCACTGAGGTCTTCAGTAAGGCCATTCTACTGCCAATGTATGTCTATGGAGATTGCACGGCTGTGTGCTCGATTTTATACACCTGTCAGCAACGGGTGTGGCTGAAATAGCCGAATTCACTAATTTGAAGGGGTGTCCACATACTTTTGTATATATAGTGTATACAGAAAGTCTTGTAAAGTATTACAGGGTGATAGAATGACATCGTGAATACATACAGAATCTATTGTACACTGGTGGCTCAAAGAAAGCAAAATATGTATTCATCCCTTATAGATACTCTGAGAACCACTCATAAAGATAGTGATCCCATTGGAGATCTACAAGGATAATGAAGGTGAACAATAAAACATTCATTGCTGCTCTGCTCTTGCTCCACAGACTGGTAAAAAAAGAAAAAGTCTCAACCGAAATATACAGCCGATGTGCACGAGCAGACTAGCAGAACACAAGCGTACAGGAGTATAGGTGTGAACCTGTGTCTGTGGGTCACAGAGAGGGTAGCCAAACCCATGGTGGTCTTAAGGTCACTGCACTGTGCCTTGAACCCTTTCACTGCGCTCACCCCAGAATCTTCAAAGTGACCAACAGGGTCAACTCCAAGGTTCCATGGCCCACAGGGGTAAAACCACCAAGTCCTCTTTAAATTAACAGCATCGTAGCATCATCATCTGCTGCTTTTCACAGGCATCAGCAAGGTGAGGGCTAATCAATGGCCTCAGCTGAGATACGCCAACAGCCTCCAGCATCTCTGACCCTATTGACCAAATTGCCCAGCATTGGCACAATAAAGATTTTCTGAATCTGTTAACCGTCTTCACACTCTCAAAGCCCCTCTTTGCTTCTACGAAAATATGTCCTCCTTGTCCGAGTCTGGCGAGGTGGGTCTGGAGATCTCAAAGAGAGGCTTGGGGGAGCTGGGAGCTCTCCTTTGAGCCTTGAGAAGCTTCAGAGCTTCTGCTAGCTGGGCCTCCAGGCCGGCCATGCGGGTGTTCAAGGCCTTCAAGTCCTCTTTGAGCTCCAGCTTGAGCTCCAGGAGGGAAGCATGGAGAGTCTGCTCTGGGATGGGGTAGAAGGCGTGCTGCTTGGCCACCTCAGGGGGCACTACAGGGCTGCGGTCCTGTGGCGTGTTGCACGTGGTTAGAGCGCCGTCCCCAACGTTATCCAGACGCAGATCGCTCTTGGTAATGCCGCTGTCGCACGAGCCGGTTTTCTTGAGCGAGGTCTGGGACTCGTGGGCTGCCCCTGCCTTGGTCCGCTCGGGTAGCGTCTCCATGGACTCGGCTTTGGACACCTTGGAAATGAAGAACAGAATGTATTAATGCAGATGGCTGGAGAGCTATTGAATCATCACTAGAGCTATCTAATGCCGGGATTCAATCAGAGGCTGGGAATCCTGGTCTAAATACACTGCTCAAAAAAATAAAGGGAACACTTAAACAACACAATGTAACTCCAAGTCAATCACACTTCTGTGAAATCAAACTGTCCACTTAGGAACCAACACTGATTGACAATAAATTTCACATGCTGTTGTGCAAATGGAAGAGACAACAGGTGGAAATTATAGGCAATTAGCAAGACACCCCCAATAAAGTAGTGGTTCTGCAGGTGGTGACTACAGACCACTTCTCAGTTCCTATGCTTCCTGGCTGATGTTTTGGTCACTTTTGAATGCTGGCGGTGCTTTCGCTCTAGTGGTAGCATGAGACGGAGTCTACAACCCACACAAGTGGCTCAGGTAGTGCAGCTCATCCAGGATGGCACATCAATGCAAGCTGTGGCAAGAAGGTTTGCTGTGTCAGCGTAGTGTCCAGAGCATAGCCTAGTGTCTAGAGATAGCCTGCAGAGCTCTATCATACTATCCAGGTCTGTGCCCAAACAGTTTGAGCTTCTACTTCTAAAAATCCACCTTTCCAGAAATAAGTCTCTCACTGTTGCCGCTTGCTACAGACCCCCCTCAGCCCCCAGCTGTGCCCTGGACACCATATGTGAATTGATTGCCCCCCATTTATCCTCAGAGTTTGTACTGCTTGGTGACCTAAATTGGGATATGCTTAATACCCCAGCCATCCTACAATCCAAGCTAGATGCCCTCAACCTCACGCAAATTATCAACGAACCTACCAGGTACAACCCTAAATCCGTAAACATGGGTACCCTCATAGATATCATCCTGACTAACATACCCTCTAAATACACCTCAGCTGTCTTCAACCAGGATCTCAGCGATCACTGCCTTATTGCCTGCGTCCGTAACGGGTCCGCGGTCAAACGACCACCCCTCATCACTGTCAAACGCTCCCTAAAACACTTTAGCGAGGAGGCCTTCCTAATTGACCTGGCCCAGGTATCCTGGATGGATATAGATCTCATTCCGTCAGTAGAGGATGCCTGGTTGTTCCTTAAAAGTAATTTCCTCTCAATCTTAAATAAACATGCCCCATTCAAAAAATACAGAACTAAGAACCGATATAGCCCCTGGTTCTCCTCAGACTTGACTGCCCTTGACCAGCACAAAAACATCCTGTGGCGTACAGCATTAGCATCAAATAGCCCCCGCGATATGCAACTTTTCAGGGAAGTTAGGAACCAATATACACAAGCAGTCAGGAAAGCAAAGGCTAACTTTTTCAAACAGAAATTTGCTTCCTGTAGCACTAACTCCAAAAAGTTTTGGGACACTGTAAAGTCCATGGAGAATAAGAGCACTTCCTCCCAGCTGCCCACTGCACTGAGGCTAGGAAACACTATCACCACCGATAAATCTACAATAATCGAGAATTTCAACAAGCATTTTGCTACAGCTGGCCATGCTTTCCATCTGGCTACCACTAACCCGGCCACCAACTCTGCACCCTCTGCTGCAACTTGCCCATGCCCCCCCCGCTTCTCCTTCACACAAATTCAGACAGCTGATGTTTTGAAAGCGCTGCAAAATCTGGACCCCTACAAATCAGCTGGGCTAGACAATCTGGACCCTTTCTTTCTAAAACTAGCCGCCAAAATTGTCGCAACCCCTATTACTAGTCTGTTCAACCTCTCTTTCATAACGTCTGAGATCCCCAGAGATTGGAAAGCTGCCGCGGTCATCCCCCTCTTCAAAGGGGGTGACACTCTAGATCCAAACTGCTACAGACCTATATCCATCCTGCCCTGCCTTTCGAAAGTATTCGAAAGCCAAGTTAACAAACAGATCATCGACCATTTCGAATACCACCGTACCTTCTCCGCTATGCAATCCGGTTTCCGAGCTGGTCACGGGTGCACTTCAGCCACGCTCAAGGTCCTAAACGATATTATAACCGCGATTGATAATAGACAGTACTGTGCAGCCGTCTTCATCGACCTGGCCAAGGCTTTCGACTCTGTCAACCACCGCATTCTTATTGGCAGACTAAATAGCCTTGGTTTCTCAAATGACTGCCTCGCCTGGTTCACCAACTACTTCTCAGATAGAGTTCAGTGTGTCAAATCGGAGGGCCTGTTGTCTGGACCTATGGCAGTCTCTATGGGGGTGCCACAGGGTTCAATTCTTGGGCCGACACTTTTCTCCGTGTATATCAATGATGTCGCTCTTGCTGCTGGTGACTCTCAGATCCACCTCTACGCAGACGACACCATTTTGTATACATCTGGCCCTTCATTGGACACTGTGTTAACAAACCTCCAAACGAGCTTCAATGCCATACAACAATCCTTCAGTAGCCTTCAACTGCTCTTAAACACTAGTAAAACTAAATGCATGCTTTTCAATCGAACGCTGCTAGCACCTGCCCACCCGACTAGAATCACCACTCTCGACGGGTCTGACCTAGAGTATGTGGACAACTACAAATATCTAGGTGTCTGGTTAGACTGTAAACTCAACTTCCAGACTCACATAAAGAATCTCCAATCCAAAGTTACATCTAGAATCGGCTTCCTATTTCGCAACAAAGCCTCCTTCACTCATGCTGCCAAACATGCCCTCGTAAAACTGACTATCCTACCGATCCTTGACTTCGGCGATGTCATTTACAAAATAGCCTCCAACACTCTACTCAGCAAATTGGATGTAGTCTATCACAGTGCCATCCGTTTTGTCTCCAAAGCCCCATACACTACCCACCACTGTGACCTGTACGCTCTTGTTGGCTGGTCCTCACTACATGTTCGTCGTCAAACCCACTGGCTCCAGGCCATCTATAAATCACTGCTAGGCAAATCCCCGCCTTATCTTAGCTCATTGGTCACCATAGCAGCACCCACCCGTAGTCTGCGCTCCAGCAGGTATATCTCACTGGTCATTCCCAAAGCCAACACCTCCTTTGGCCGCCATTCCTTCCAGTTCTCTGCTGCCAATGACTGGAACGAATTGCAAAAATCTCTGAAGCTGGAGACTCTTATCTCCCTCAATAACTTTAAGCATCAGTTGTCAGAGCACCTTACCGATCACTGCACCTGTACACAGCCCATCTGAAATTAGCCCACCCAACTACCTCATCCCTATATTGTTATTTATTTTGCTCTTTTGCACCCCAGTATCTCTATTTGCACATAATCTCTTGCACATCTAGCATTCCAGTGTTAATACTATTGTAATTATTCTGCACTATAGCCTATTTATTGCCTTACCTCCATAACTTGCTACATTTGCACACACTGTATATATATTTTCTGTTGTATTTCTGACTTTATGTTTTTTTACCCCATATGTAACTCTGTGTTGTTTTTATTGCACTACTTTGCTTTATCTTGGCCAGGTCGCAGTTGTAAATGAGAACCTGTTCTCAACTGGCTTACCTGGTTAAATAAAGGTGAAATAAAAATAAAAATAAAATGGAGGCGCTACCAGGAGACAGGCCAGTACATCAGGAGACGTGGAGGAGGCCGTAGGAGGGCAACAACCCAGCAGCAGGATCGCTACCTCCGCCTTTGTGCACAAATGTGTCTGCTCAAACGGTCAGAAACAGACTCCATGAGGGTGGTATGACGGCCCGACGTCCACATGTGAGGGTTGTGCTTACAGCCCAACACCGTGCAGGACGTTTGGCATTTGCCAGAGAACACCAAGATTGGCAAATTCGCCACTGGCGCCCTGTGCTCTTCACAGATGAAAGCAGGTTCACATTGAGCACATGTGACAAGTCTGGAGACGCCGTGGAGAACGTTCTGCTGCCTGCAACATCCTCCAGCATGACCGGTTTGGCGGTGGGTCAGTCATGGTGTGGGGTGGCATTTCTTTGGGGGGCCGCACAGCCCTCCATGTGCTCGCCAGAGGTAGCCTGACTGCCATTAGGTACCAAGATGAGATCTTCAGACCCCTTGTGAGACCATATGCTGGTGCGGTTGGCCCTGGGTTCCTCCTAATGCAAGACAATGCTAGACCTCATGTGGCTGGAGTGTGTCAGCAGTTCCTGCAAGAGGAAGGCATTGATGCTATGGACTGGCCCGCCCGTTCCCCAGACCTGAATCCAATTGAGCACATCTGGGACATCATGTCTCGCTCCATCCACCAACGCCACGTTGCACCACAGACTGTCCAGTTGGCGGATGCTTTAGTCCAGGTCTGGGAGGAGATCCCTCAGGAGACCATCCGCCACCTCATCAGGAGCATGCCCAGGCGTTGTAGGGAGGTCATACAGGCACATGGAGGCCACACACACCACTGAGCTTCATTTTGACTTGTTTTAAGGACATTACATCAAAGTTGGATCAGCCTGTAGTGTGGTTTTCAACTTTAATTTTGAGGGTGACTCCAAATCTAGACCTCCATGGGTTAATACATTTGATTTCCATTGATAATTTTTGTGAGATTTTGTTGTCAGCACATTCAACTATGTAAAGAAAAAAGTATTTAATAAGATTATTTCATTCATTCAGATATAGGATGTGTTGTTTAAGTGTTCCCTTTATTTTTTTTAGCAGTGTATGTTATGTTTCTGGTCATACCTTGTTCCAGTTGGAATCCTTGGCCATGGAGTCCTTGAAGCGGCCCCAGCCTTTGACCTTGGCCGGCTCGGACAATCGGAGAGATGGGGCCTGGAGCTTGGCTTTGTCTGACGGGCCGGAGGTTGTGGACGCCAAGATGGAGATTGAAGGAATGGGTGTGGCTGGGCTTTCGGTGACGGTGACAATGCTGGTGGTGGCGATGATTTCATGGATGGGAATGGGCTCAACATACACGGTCTGGCCACTCTCCAGGTCATCGGATGGGTCGGCCCACTCCTGATGTACACGGGCCTCCTTCTGCTGCCGGAACCGCTGGAAGAGCCGACGGACCGGATGGTCAGGCGGGAGGTTGAGGGGCGCCTCATTCTTTCGTCTCAGGCGCTCCTCCTCCTCTCGTTTCACGTCGCTGATCTTTCTGAACACAATCTGTAGAGAGACAACACACTCTTCATTAGTTCAATTCAACTTGTTTTTGTTTGCACATACTGCATGATAACTTGTCTGAGAACAGAACAGTGATACTATGAACTCCATCCTGTGTTATGTAGCTCATGCTGTGCATTGGGTGGACTGTCTAACCACATTATGCTAAGCTAACTAGAGGTTGCTGAAACTAACCAAATAACCAGAATGTGCACTTTAAAAAATATATATATTTTAAAAATCGGGTCAATCAACTAAGTTTAGATAAGTGAAAAAAACATGTCAATGTGTATCTGCACCAAATTCAGCTCTGTTCGATGATGAGCTTCTCTGACAGTTAAGACTAGCAACACAGGTAAGTATCTATAGTAGATACGCAGACAGATAATGCAGTGGAGCTAAAGGCATGGAAGTGGAGGTACAGTGCATTACTAATTTAAACCCATCGTACTGAAAACACTGCAAATAATGCCTTTTGTGGAGTCCCTCAAAGGAAATATGAATGGCTCCTCTCGATCCTCGCACCAGTGACTTTTTTCTCTACAGAAACGCAATCATTATTTAGCAGAATGTTAACCAAAACACAAAACAGACATTTTTGATTATTCTGGGTGACATTTAGAAAAAGCTTGTTCTATTTATGTCGATACAGTATTTTACACAGCAACTGTTGTCCCACAGATTGCATTCCTTGAACCATTCATGCACAACACATTTCTAGTGGCTTAGGATTTGTAAATATATATTCGTAGGGAAAAGCACATGCAAAATATCAAAGTTATATGCTTAGTATTTTCATTTATTTAGAGCCAGCACAAACACCCAAAGTTTCGACTAGGTCTTTTTCAAGGGTGCGCTGTGTGAGCAAACTCCTGCAGTCTGTATTCATACAAGTTTGAGTGAACAACAGGTGGCAACAATTGGTTATTTCAATTAGATAGCAATCAATTAGTGAGTCACAGTAGACAATATATTTAGACAGAATCATAAGTCAACATGATATAGACAGGGCCCATGTTTTTCAAAGCAATGCTCCCATGACTTGTGCAAAGGCATAACAATATTGATTAAAAAAATCAAAACATGGCCATGACACAGTAAATGTACAAAAATAACAAATAAAAGTCAGATCGATTTCCTCATTAAAAGGATACGTTGGGATTTTGGCAATGAGGCCCTTTATCTACTTGAGTCAGATGAACTTGTGGATACCATTTTTATGTCTCTGTGTTCAGTATGAAGGAAGTTACAGGTAGTTTCGCAAGCCAATGCTAACTGGCGTTAGTGCAATGACTGGAAGTCTATGGGTAAGAGACAGCTAAAGAGGTAGAGAAAGATAGAGAATCTCTGCAATGGAGTTGAAAAAGATTAACTACAGGCAATCAGTGTTCGAACAGGAGATATTAAACAAAATATTGAAAAAAATGAGCTCATCTTATGATGTTCATTGCAAAAATTTACTGATTCACTGGACACACACACACGACTGAAATATTAAATGACTGAAATAGATTAGTATGGCTATCCTCATCTTCTATGGAGACAAAAAAAGAAGACTAAGCAGCACATTCTAGATTGCTTTTGAAAACTATTACATATGATTGAAACCCTAAACCCTGCATCAGACATATGCCAAATGCATACATGCTTATAACAAGTTATAAATCATTATACCTGCAGGCTTGTAGAAAAGTCTTACCCAAAAGGCCAATCTGCTGGTTTATCATTAATAGTTTGCTAAACTACTTCTCAACAGTGGCGACGCTTCATTTTGAGCCCCTCCTGTTACATAAAAATAAACTGTTTTGCATGTTATTTTGGCATTATTATGGGTCACATATCAGTTTGCAATCAATGTAAAAATAATAATAATAATAGAGTAAATAAAGCCGCATACAAACAATTTTTTGCTTTCTTGACTAAGGCAGCTCCAAAATGCAGGTGTTTCAGCCTAGCTCAGTGCTTTCTGTGGTGGTAGGGCAGCCAGTGGAAAATATAGAACGTAGGGGTTGGTTATGTTGTCTAGTGCCGTGATTGGCTCAGTGTTCTGTCACTCATGGGGACACTACGTCAGGTAGAGCTCGAAATCTACAGGTAGAGCAAAAAGATTCAAGCCCCTTGGGTTCTGCCATAGACTTACACATTAGAAGTGCCCATCCAAGAAGGCTCAAGGTCATTGGCCACAGATAAAATGACCTCAAATCACGTTATATCTACCGTAGCAAATCCTTTTCAATCCTTGTCATATGAAGAGAAATTATAGATAAAACGTATTGGTGCTCATCGGCCATTGGACATAAACATTACACAACAAGTTGGAAATCGCAAATTCAACACTGAGTGCTGAGGCGCGACCGCAACCTCCGGATCGATCCCAGGCTGTGTCACAGCCGGCCGTGACCGGGAGACCCATGGGACGGCCCAGCGTCGTCCGGGTTAGGGGAGGGTTTAGCAGGTCGGGATTTCCTTGTCTCATCGTGCTCTAACGACTCCTTGTGGCGGGCCGGGCGCCTGCAAGCTGACTTTGGTCGTCAGTTCGACAGTGTTTCCTCCGACACATTGGTGCGGCTGGCTTCTGGGTTAAGTGAGCAGTGTGTCAAGAAGCAGTGCGGCTTGGCTCTCGACCTTCGCCGAGTCCGTAGGGGAGTTGCAGCGATGAGACAAGATCGTAACTTCTGGCCGTTGCATGTGAATGTTTATCCTTTTAAAAATGTTTAAAATGTTTACATCCTTTTTCTCCCCAATTTCGTGATATCCAATTGGTAGGTAAAGTTTGAATACATTGGCCATGCTGTCAATCCACCATGACTTCTGCTGCGTTCAAAACAACTGGAAACTCAGAACTGGGAAATGTCAGACTTCAGTGAGTTAAAGACAATTGGGAATTCGGGAAAAAAACCTAGCTCTGACTGGGAAAATACGGAAAATAATTTTGAACGGTCATCCAACTCGGAATTCCAAGTCGGGAACTCGGGCCTCTTTCTAGAGCCCACAAGAAGGACCGCCGCGCCACCTTCCTGTTCAAGTGAGCACAGCACAACAGGGTGAGTCCAAAAATGTCTTGTATGCTGCTGCATAAATGATGTAATATGCCAGGGAGATATGTGTATACTGTAGCTAAGAAACTAATACTAAGTGTATATTGTGTATTAAGCTGTTAGTAGCCCCTAATAATTTGGTCCCTTTCCCCCCTCATAACTTAGCCTACTGTTCTGACTTGGTGGTGCACACGTAGCCTACAGCCTGTTTTAGAGAAATGTAATCTTCAAATATTGTAAGCATTGTCTGATTATATGCCCCCTTTATTTATCCTACGGTTCTGACTTGGTGTACAGGGAGAATACTTTAAGAACGGCCCATGTTCTGAATTCTGTCACTGTACATTTCAAAAGTGCTGAACAAATAGTTATATTGAGCACGTCCGTCCTAGCTCGGATTGCCTCTTATCCGCTCGCCAATCCCTTATGCCATAGTTTGTACATCTCAATTGTCAGTAGAAACCACATTTGTTTAAACAAGTCAGCCATATCAGCTATGTTTTTAAGAAAGGCAGTAAATGAGGCTGAACAAACTGTTTCGATGCCAGACAAGGCTCCGCTGGTTTAGCGGTGGTAAGGATTCACTCCATGGTGCTGAAAAGAAGGCTATGCTGTTGGGACAGCTTTATGTAGGCCCTAATAGTTTGTGGGCACCGTTTGTCACCGTTATAGTGCAATGAATGTATTGTTTAGTGTTGTGTAGTGTCTTTGTTGGCATGCATCATAAAACATTTAAAAAATGGTTTGCCCCACCAAGATTTACATGCTAAAATCGCCACTGCTTCACAATATATATCCCAAACATTTGCTGCTACCCCCAAGCGAAAATATGGTGTCACGAACATCCAAGTCAGAGAAGTGGTTTGGCATCTATTATTCAGTGAGCTGCTGAATTGCCAGCTGGCTGCTTCAGAGAACAAGAGCTTCACGTCAGTTGGGTATTTTGTATTTTATGTAAGGATGAGAGTTTAATTTAGGTTAAGCCAGTGACTCTCATCATAGGGGGGGGTTAATCATGCCAAACACTGTAACGTTAACTCTGTCACTTAGTCGCCTACATATACAGTGCCTTCAGAAAGTATTCACACCCCTTGACTTTTTTGTTGTGTTAAAGCCTGAATTTAAAATGGATAAAATTAAGATTTTGTGTCACTGGCCTACACACAATTCCCCATAATGTCAAAGTGGAATTGTTTTTAGAAATGTTAGAACTTAATACAAAATGAAAAGCTGAAATGTCTTGAGTCAATAAGTGTTCAACCCCTTTGTTATGGTAAGCCTAATTAAGTTCAGAAGTAAAAATGTGTTTAACAAGTCACATAATAAGTTGCATGGACTCACTCTCTGTGCAACAATAGTATTTAACATGATTTTCAAATGACTACCTCATCTCTGTACCCCACACATTCAATTATCTGTAAGGTCCCTAAATCGAGCAGTGAATTTCAAACATAGATTTAACCACAAAGACCAGGGAGATCTTCCAATGCCTCGCAAAGAAGGGCACCTTTTGATAGGTTGGTAGTGGTATATATATATATATATATATATATATATATATATATATATATATATATATATATATATATATATATATATATATATATATATATATATATTTTGAAGCAGACGTTGAATATATTCCTTTGAGCATGGTGAAGTTATTACTTACACTTTGGATGGTGTATCCATACATCTAGTCACTACAAAGATACAGGTGTCCTTCCTAACTCAGTTGCCAGAGAGGGAGGAAGCTGCTCAGGGATTTCACAATGAGGCCAATGGTGAATTTAAAACAGTTACAAAGTTTAATGGCTGTGATAGGAGAAAACTGAGGATGGATCAACAACATTGTAGTTACTCCACAATACTAACCTAATTGACAGACTGAAAAGAAGGAAGCCTGTACAGAATAAAAATATTCCAAAACATGCATGCTGTTGGCAATACGGCACTAAAGAAAAA